TTCTTCAGTGATTGTCAAGCCTTTCCCTGTGTCCTGTCCCTCCAGGCCTTGTCCCAAGTCCCTCTGCAGCTCTCCTGGAACCCCTTGAGGCACTGTTTGATCCAGTGCTGCCTGGGGAACCTGTGCCAGTGCCTCAGAGGGAGGAATTCTTGCCCAGTATCCAATCTAAACCTCCTCTCTTTCAGTTTGAAACCATTCCCCCTTGTCCAGGCACTGCATGCTCTTGTAAGAAGTCCCTCTGTTTCCTGCAGGTATCAGGAGGCCACACATCTTCTCAAAACATCACATCTCACAGGCAGCAGAAGTGACAGTGCAGGACTGAACAGCTGAAGTCCATGTGTGTGGGGACCAGGGAGGGGGGTCAGGTCAGTGTCAGCTCAGTCTGCCTCTGGACTGGCCTGTGGCCAAACACCCTTGGTGTCTGCATCCCTAGACAGCATCTTCCAGCCTAGTTCCACCTGACACTAAGGGACCAGATGAGCACAGAGCTCTCTGCACTGCTAGTCTCTTTATGGTGTGCAACACAACACAAAATAGATGAAATAATAAGAAAGTTGTTTCATTTACGGTTCTTTTCCTGTTTATCCTTTCATTTTCAGTGTGGTGAGTTTTTCCCACCCCTGTCAAGTGGGAAATAACTTACTTTACCTTCTTGTTGTTCTCAGATGTGGGACTCAGAATGGTGAGTTCAGGCCTGCTTGGCTTGGGCTTGGGAGACTCACAGGAGTTGATGAAGTTCATGATGAAAGGTTCCAAGTGCTGCCCTTTCTGGAAACACACAGGGGGGATCTGTCACTTGCAGGATTATAGGAAAATGAAACCCAAACCAGCCAAAACCCCCAAGTTTCAAACATGTTTTTGACTAGTCTGTAAATCAGTTAGCTCCTAAAATTAGTTATCAAAGCCAAGATGTGGCAGCCTGGAAGATTCACTCACCTCTTTCATCAGCTTCCCTGGGACAGATTTTATGATTTTACCTACAATCAGAAACAAACAAACACTTCATGTCATCACTATCTGGTCTGAAGGACATTTTGCTCTGCCACATTTTACAGCAGTGACAGTTTAATGGTTGGACTTGATGAGCTTAGATCTCCTCCAGCCTTGATGGTTCCATGATTCTAGGACAACTCAAAAGCAACAACTTGAGCACTTTTTCCCATCACTTCAAAATGCATTTTTTCCTTCAAGGCAGGAGGGTCAGCACATCTTGCTGCTGAGCTGTAGCTTTCAGGGTTGTGAAGGAGCAGAGCTCATTTCCCACCCCCACAGGAGTCACCACCATCGCTCACAGGACCACACACCTCAGACATCCATGATTCTAGGACAACTCAAAAGCAACAACTTGAGCACTTTTTCCCATCACTTCAAAATGCATTTTTTCCTTCAAGGCAGGAGGGTCAGCACATCTTGCTGCTGAGCTGTAGCTTTCAGGGTTGTGAAGGAGCAGAGCTCATTTCCCACCCCCACAGGAGTCACCACCATCGCTCACAGGACCACACACCTCAGACACAGCACCGGTGCCACTTG